ATACATCCTTAATACATTATCTAAAACATAATCTAAGCCAGATTGTACCGTTTCAATAATGTTTTATTTAATTTATACAACTTTTTTACAGTCCTTTTGATGGTCGAATAAAATTTTTTATCACTGTCCATTAGAAAACCAACGATATTACAAAGTAATACAACTAATCTTCTGTTTTTAATGTATTAATGTAACCGACATATCAACTTGAACTTTTGTATACTGTATAGAATACCGTATACAAATATTAAGTTTCTTAAGAAACGAGGAAACGCATAAAATTCGCACCATTTCTTTATATACAATTAATGATATTGTAATTTTTGTGTGAAAATTGCGATAACAAAATGCACAAGCTTCCTTGCTTCTGCATTCGTTTAGGATTCATTTAGTGGTAAGATAACAATCAATTACGAATGCTTTTGCATGTGCTTTCTCTATAATAATCTTTGTATTCTGACATAGGCATATAAAGTCGTGTACATTTTATTAATTTATTTATACTTCGAATCCTCAGTTTGTGATTCTTCGAGTCTCGGATAAATATACACGAAAATTAATGCAACACGTTGTTTTTTCACCATCGTTTAGCGTTTTTCAGACACTGATAATATATTTAAATGAGTTGTCTTTCTCCAAATAATAAAAGTACACTGCTAACACTCTTGGCTCCGCATCTCTAAGCAATAGTGATCCTAATTTCGAACGCTTGTCATTTGTTCTAATGAAATGTTTAAGGAATTTTTCGGTTTAAACTAAAGAAAATTTAGAAACTACTGAACAGTTACGAACTTTTAAAAGATTTTTATAAATTACAAGGAATAAATAATAATAAAACAGGAAATGACTAAAATTTGTTTATTTGTTGAACCAAAGGGTTTTGCTGGTAGCTCTATGGTTAAATTCACCGTGTAACGCAAGGTGCATAATCGCCCTCGAGTTTCACCGGAAACCGAAAACTGAAAACAGTTTTCCGTCCCTGCCGAGGCGCGTCAATGTTACCTGAGGTCCGGCAAAAGGATTTCATAAATGTATACATACCTTTGCTCGCAGAAGGGACGTTTTATTACAGTTTTCATCCGCAGATTAGTCCCTTTGGAAGCATCGATACTCGATTCGACCGTTCCCGTTTATAGCCCCTGTCATAAAAGTATCTATTTGGTGTTTTCGACCGGACCGGCTGGGCCGAGCTCCTTTGAACAAAAAGGTACCCATCCCGTGCAGCCCCTCGGAATTTCTCGGTATGCTACGTGAAACGTTGTTGCGTTCCCCGGGTCCAATTACGCGCTGGTCGCCGACTCGTTCGAAAAAGACGCGGCGGCGCATCCCCTTCTTTTTTTTTTTTATCTCCGATCCCGATTTTCTCTCGTCGTTTGACCGCGCGAGCCGTGGAAGCGGCAAGCGCGAGACGAACCGTTCTAACGGGGAAGTAGAAGCACTTCTTGGCTTCTTTGTCCGTGAAGTTTACGGAACTGTAGATACGGCAAAATTCCAGTTTACATTGCTTCGTAACCGTGCGATTTCGCCGTCGTAAATCCTAGATACGGTTGGAAGAGTACCAAACAATGAAATTCCATGTTTAAAAGAATTGATCCGACGAACTTTCAGAACCTTTGCCGCGATCTACCAAAAGGGTAAATGTCCCAATTTTTGTTCACGCCGCAATTCCTCCACACTGGCGTGTTTCTCTATCGTTTCAAGATAACATTAATTTCTATTAATTTCATTATTTTTCTATAGTTTTAAGATAAAAGCGTAGAGAAATACTCTATGTAGAATGTAGAAATTATGACCTAAACAGAAACTGGGATATCTGTCTTGATTAATTATTATTAACGAGAAAAATGAAAATTCAGTTTTCGTCTGCGTAATAAAATTCGTACTGATAATCATCTTATTGAACAGATTGAGCAACGATTAACTTGGTATTATCACTGAAACGATATATTAAGAATCGTACGATAAATAATTCGTTAATACTTGAAAGTGTGCTTGCGCGCACGTATTTTCTCAGCCATTATTTTTTTCAATTCTCTCTAAGAATTTTGCAAGTAAACAAGTGCAATCACGATCAAATAGAATAGCAAAAAAAAGAACGATTCTAGTAAAGAAAAATATCGATTTCATTGCAGTTCCACGTTATTACTTAGAAGTTAAATGAATAAAATGTACAAATATGACTAAATACGAAGGACGTGTATCGGGACGATCCACGGACAAATGTGGAGATGACAAAAAATGTAGAGAGAAGGGGAGAAGAAAATAGGAAGAGGAAGGAGCGTGTGGTGGTACGTGGAAATTGCGAGAAGAGGGAAGCTGGGGGTTGCGTGTTGCGAGCAGCAGGGGTTGGAGAGGGGTCGGGGTCGGACATCGATCCGGTAGTTAAGCTGAGGGCTCCCACGGGACTCGTTGCTACACTCGCCTCCTCTCCTTGCTTTATTTGCGCAAACCCCGTCGCGGCGGCGTGTCCCGCGGACGTAACAACGCTTTGGCATTGGTTAAAACGCCAAACGCCGCGCTTACCAGCAAACATAAACCGCATTACCACGTTTTTATCCCTGTATTTATGTACCATCTCTAACGAGCGCCCATTCCGCGAGCAGGGAGACGACGCTCTCCCGGCCGAAGGTGTCGCAAACAAATCGCGGGATCGTAAACGGACCGTTACCCTGACGCGGATTTAATCGTTATTGCCACGCTCAATTATCGAACCTCTCCAATTCACCTCGAACGCGGATGTATTAACCATCATATCAATCACTTCCCGCGAACAGAACGAAGAGACGGTATCGTCAATCATGCTTAGAATTGTTTTAAAAATGTACTGCCGTAATTCTATCTCTAATTCATACAAGGCAAACGTCCCAATTTTTTGTTCACAATTTCTGCTCAGTCATTTTCCTATAATTTCAAGGTAAAAATCCGTGAGTAGAAATTGGGACTCCCTTAGTTAAATCAAAATGCAATTTCATTAATCTTGATATTTTCTGATTATCCTTAATTATTTCAAAAAATCTAGTCACTTTCTTCAGTTAAGTAGAAGTACATAATTTTATGAAAAATGAGTTAGGATCACTGCTTTTAAAGAAACACTTCTGGAATTTATCCATAATTCCACAGTTTTTTAATGAATTCTCAGGAACGGGTTTGTCATACTCGGGACAGGAATGAAGTGAACGACGTAGTTATTAAACATAACACCGTTTATTTCTGTTCATTTTTCAAATTTCGCGATCACATGTTCATTATAGTACGCACGAGACGTAACAATCGTGTAATAATTAGCACTAATCATGGTGTCAATTGTTTAAGCTAGAAGTAAAATTGCGACGCATACTAGTCCAGTTAATCTGATTACTCGTTCTCATCGATTTGCATCAATTCGGAATCGATCTAAACCTTCGGTCAACTATTTCTCACTAATTATATCGATTCCGAATCGACGAGAAATATTTAACTGGAAAAATTTCACTAATATGTCTAAATAATCAGATTATCTGAATTCGCACGCATTGCAATTTATAAACTAATTGTTTCTAGCTTGATTAGATTCTGATCCTTTACAGTTACATTACATGTCACGTCTCGTGATCTCGTCAATTAATGTATACGAGGGCTGACAACGCTGAAGGCACACTGCACGTAAAAGACCGGTATTGTCCCTCTTTTATCGTTTCTCTCTCGACCTTATTCTTTATTGTCATATTAAAAATTCGAAGTCTCCGAGATCGAGAAGTCTAGCGTCGGCGCAGCGATAAAACTACGTTCAAGATACATGAAGAATAAGAAATAGTGTCAGCGAGTTCGACTTGTGGTAAAAAACCGGCGATTAAAATGATTGAAATTTAAATGTTCTAAGGCATAGACTATACATATACATAACGATAATTTAAACGTGTATTTATGTTAGACAGAATCTCTATTATCAGAACGTAGCTGGATACAGAAATATTCTTGTTTCATACTCTAAAACGATAAAAGAGATTCTGTCAATTTTTTCAATTATCTATGAACGTTTGTCTTCGTCGAATTGATTAATTGACTAAATTTCTGATTCGATTAGAAGCGTACAGTACCGTAGAAAAAGCGATGACGATCCGATATGCACTTTCTGAACCGATGCGAGTAATTCGAAAAAGAAATAGCAGTTGAGAGACAGTCGGTTCGACGTGCTATTTCTTTCAGCCATATGGAAAATTCAATATTCGCATTCTCCCCTTCTCCATTTAAATAATAGTATTTCTATATATGAATATTAAATTGCGCCAGCGCAATTGGAACAACGAGGACATAGGACGGAGACGATTTTTCAAAGCGAGAACGCGAAGAAACACGGTTCAGGCTCGACGGAAATGTTTCATGTATGACTAGCTCCGAAACTGAGTTCGTAAACAATTCGCAACTAACGATAAATATGTGTACGATAGGGTTGAGTTAATTTCCATGAAAGCTTTTTCGTGTTCTGCCCCCGCGGTGTCTTGAAAAATCGATTCTTACCAAGCGCGGATATCTCGGCTCTCGTATTTTACGAAGGTGTTAATTTCACCATGCCGCATTATCGAGGTAGAAAAATGCTTACGCCGCAAAACGCACGAACTCATTACTCTTCTTCTCATCACCGCGTTCCTTCAAATAAAGCTTTCAAATGTTCCTTGCATACGCTCCGCACCAAACGAATAAATCGAACGACATTTGCATTTTTATAATTGAACGATAATTTGGTAGAAGTTGCGTGGTACACGTCAATAAATTTAGAGTCAATTAAAATAGGAGAGGATGGAAGAAAAAAGCGGGAAAAGATTTTGTAAGTGAAAAAAAAGGAAGAACTAAAGAACAGAAGATTTTGTATCATTGTTCGATTTAAGGTGACACAAAAATTAATTTATAACATGTGGTCGTGAATAGTAATTAATATTAAAAAAAACAGAATGCGGTATTAAGGAGTTCCAGGATTATTTTATTTACAACTCGATGATGTTGTCCTCTAATTATAAAATTAGCAAAATCGAGTATTTCTGGAAATACTGCAATAATATCATAAACAGCACTCATCAAGAATAAAATTAATAAAATACTTCAATATTTAGTAACGACCATCTCGTAATCCTACGTATACATATGTTTGTTTTGTTCTCTTCTCAATCTTCTTGTTCAATAATTTAACATATATACAATAGAATACTACGTGTGTACCGAAAAGTATAAAAATCCGAATTAACAATTATATTTACAATTAAATTTTTAATATCGATCTGGAGACGAATTAAAATTTGGAAAAATCGAATTGCAATTAAAGTCAAATAAGTTAAACTAATTAATTTATATCCTCTTTCCTTTTTAAGAATATTTTTAACAAGAGATGAGAGTACGGATGTATAATTGTGAGTCTGGGATGGAATCCGTAAACCACTGTATCGTCGTCTGGATTGCGTCGAATGCGAGAAGTATAAAAATTTCTTAAAAGTATCGATGAATATGTACACACGAATATATTACAAAGGTATATTTGGTTTCAAGAAATTTTTACACTTAGTCGACGCGCATCTCTCACTCACAATTATGTTTTTCATTTTTAAACAACAATCAGGTGATGCAAAATCGAAAAAGCAGTCAAAAATCGAAAAGATCCGAAGATGCAGTAAGAGAATCAAGAAAATAGAAAAATATTATAGTACAAAAATTCGTTCTAGCAAAATCGAAGAAGAGAACAAGATAATACTGTGTAGAATAAAAAAAGTGAAGAGAACACACTGTGATGTCGTCGGTGAATAGTTCGTCGTTATCTTTAATTCCTCGCCGATCTCGAGGATAACAAAAATCGAATGCTTAACACGCTAAAACGTAGTCATATTGAAATAAAAATACGAAGTAATAATTAAATTAACTACATCTCCGTGTGGTCATCGTTGGACGGACAAATATATACAGATTCCAGTCTTGACCACTACGCAAAGTTCTACTGTTCTCTTTTTTTATATCGTCACTTATTTAACTGAACCAGCGGGAACAGTATTTTATCATTTTGTACACTCCCTCCACGACAATGAAGTCTTTGCTTACTCGATTCAACCCGGAATTCTCTTTCCTATACTTTTATGTACAATTTTCGATGGAGATGATTGAGGATCTTCCATCTACGTTTGTAAAAGCATACCGCGGAATTGATCGACTACTCAATAATTCATTTAATTAAGTATCCAATATCAATACTTAATTCGAGACCAAAATATCTTTTCGATAAAGGTATTGTTCGATTTAAGAAATGGTCTTATGCAAGTATCGCATTTTGTGTTGCGAGAATTCAGGCGTTGAAGCGAAGACGATGTCCTTCTTGCAATTACGGGAAAATCAGATCCTCAATCATGTACAGGGTCATGAATCGATCGTTGTAATTGCCGTGTCTTTAGTATAGCGCATCGTGTTTGTACATACCGAGGGAGTCCGGTTGTGATTGATCATACGAGAAGGTTCAGCCATGACTAAAGACACGGCATCAAACCTTTCGATGTCCACGGGCGAAGGCCAACCTGGGCCAGATTTGGTCTCCTGAGACCACCAGCGAGATGAACTGATGGACGGTCGAGATGTCGGTCAGCCGTGGTTGGTTCAGGTGTCGGCGTTGGACGTCGAAGGTTACAAGTCTTCGGGTGCTTGTTGATGGGGGTGTTGATGGGGATGCTGATGAAGGTGCTGATGCGCATGATGCGCGTGCTCATGCGGTTGCTGGTGCGCTTGCTGGTGCGCCTGATGGTGCGCCTGATGGTGCGCCTGATGGTGTGCATGATGGTGCGCATGATGGTGCGCATGCTGTTGCTCTTGTTGGTGCGCGTGCTGTGGCGCTTGTTGGTGCGCTTGTTGGTGCGCTTGTTGGTGCGCTTGTTGGTGCGCTTGTTGGTACGCTTGCTGGTGCGCTTGCTGATGCGCTTGCTGGTGCGCTTGCTGATGGGGATACTGATAAGGATGCGCTTGTTGATGGGGGTGCTGATGAGGATGCGCTTGGTGCGCGCCGTGTCCATGGGCCAAAGGCAGGCCGTGATTACCGTGAGGCGCACCGTTCTGCATCATTAAACCTCCTAGTGGTCCACCTAGTGGTCCTCCTAGCGGTCCTCCAAACGCTCCTGCGAACGCTCCTGCGAACTGTCCTGCGAACTGTCCTGCGAACTGTCCTCCGAGTGGTCCTGCGAACTGTCCTCCGAGCGGTCCTCCGAGTGGTCCTCCGAACTGTCCTCCGAGCGGTCCTCCGAGCTGTCCTCCGAGCGGACCTCCGAGCGGTCCTCCTAGCGGTCCTCCGAGTGGTCCTCCGAGCGGACCTCCTAGCGGTCCTCCTAGCTGTCCTCCTAGCGGTCCTCCTAGCGGTCCTCCGAGTGGTCCTCCGAGCGGACCTCCGAGTGGTCCTTCAACGCCATCCAACGATAGACCGGCCAATCCTAAGCTTGGCGAAGTCGACGTCGATGGTTTCATGTCCCCATTGAGTCCAAATTCGAGCGCCTCGCGCTTCTTATTCTGTTTTCGTTCCTTAGCTCGGCGGTTTTGGAACCAAATTTTTACCTGAAATTCACGTAACGCCACGATGCATTTATGGACCATGGAAATCATGATGTTATACAGTGCTCTTCGCTTGAACAGCCTCGAAAATTCATATACGTAATGTAAGCTTGTGTAAGAAAGGAATTCTGTTGATAATTCTTGATTACTAGTTAAATGCGCTTACATTATAAATTAGTAGACGAAATTAGTTTATCTTTTGATGTAGACAGTTGGAAAATATATGTTGATCCACAGTTAGTCGATGCTTTGCGATAGATCAGAAGATAAATAATGGGCTATTCGTGGCTATCCAATCGAATGAAGAGTATTGCACTTTTATATAAAAGTCGAATTTCTGCATTTATACGACGTCTCTAATTAGCGAAAAATGTGTTCGATTTGTTTATTTCTCCCCGACTACAATTACGCGACATGTTTCAAATTAGAAAATAAAATATGATAGTCAAAAGGGGTTTTATGTATTTGACGTTTCAGAAAATTAAAATTTTGTAAACACGTATGAAAGCAACTAGTAAATTATTTGATGTTTTACAGGAACTACATTTTGTACGAATAATGAAACACTTAATAAACTATCAATCGTTAACAGAATTAATAATGTAAATGTTCCAACTTCTTTTCAGGTCGCAATTTCTATGCTTTTATATTATGTTAATAGAAAAATAAGTCAGTAAGTAGAAATTGTGCGAACAGAAATTGGAATATTTACGTTTCTCGTGATTTATTTTCATTGAGTACTCACTTGTCTTTCAGACAGCGCGAGGTAGGTAGCAAGCTCTGTTTTGCGGCGGATTGTGATATAACGGCTGTAATGGAACTCTTTCTCCAGCTCCAGTCTCTGGTGATCTGAGTAGACTACTCTGTATTTGTCCTTAGTACGAGTCTTCCCTGTAAAATAACGTAGAGAACTATTACATAACAATTTAAGTTATTAGATAACAATTTTATTCTGTGTAATTCTATCTCGCCCCCTTTTTTAATTCCCCTGTCAATAATGCGTCGCCAAGATAATAACGATGCACTTTCGACAGTTTAATTCGTTAGACGCATCTTAATAAATTGAATGAGATATTAAAATGTAGATTTTAAATGCCAGCCAAGTTTTGGAAACCAATCATAAATTATCACGTGTAGAATAAATGAATTTATAAAGAAACTAATTTCTAGAAGAAGTACATGCGTCGAGATGGTAAGGGAAGGAAATTGTGAAGTAATGATGATATACAATACATTACATAAGTAATAAATAAGACATGTTATAATATTCTATACAAATCATAGCAGAATATAAATTCTCTCATGGTTAAGAACGAAGTTCTTGCTGCAATTGCGGTGTACCTTTAATTTTATTATTTAACTTTGTTAAGCAATGGAAAATTTATACTCTATGTAATGTACAATCATTGTGGTTGCTAATGACTCTCGTAGCTGATGCAATCTCGAAAATTCAATAATAACAAGTTTTTCCTACATTTGTTGCGAATATCATTAATTTCCATATTGAAATAAACGTGCGTGATTTGAAATGATTGAGAAATACCAAAAAGGAACGGGGATAAAGAGGGGAGGAGCCGACAAACGGGATGGTGTGAATTCAACGTGGTTCGAGACGGTACGAAATCTAAAACGAGACAGAGTGAAATGAAGCGAAACCGGCGCGACGGAAAGGAACGTGCAGGGACGTGGTGGTGAGGGAAACGATTAGATAAGAGCGGGGCCGGCGAGATCAAAGGCGTGCACGTTAATCCACCACTCCTCGATAAGAGTGCTCGAGGCCTTCCGAGACGTCATGAATAAGCTTCGACCTTAGACTTCTCTCAGTTCTGTGTAACCGTATGGAATATCATAGGTGGATCCAGCATGGCTGGCGAGGAAGAATCAGCCGTGATTACAAGTTTGGCTAAAAGTGGAAAATGACTTCGACGATCGACGCAAGAAACCTCCACCATGTATCAATTTTATCTACGTGCCACAAGAAACGTATTAGCATTTTATTAAAGAATTAAAATGCGAATTTCTTGTATTTATGCAAATGAATGGACGTAAAGTGATTCGACAATTTGTTTTAAGCACTGTATACAGACACAAAATAAAATTGAATATTTATAGCAGTCCGAAGAATTGATCAAACGTCTATAATTATGAAAGAACATAAACGAATACATTAAATTAGAGTATCTTACGAATTCAAGTATTTGTCAAATGTCAAAGTTGTCAGTGTCATATATTCTATCTGTTGAAATATGAAAATACTACATTGTGGATCGAATTTGCAGTCTTGACCAGATTGCGCTCGATCGTTATCGTAAGCACTTCTACTTTTTAGTGTAGCGATAATTCTGAGTGCTGAGCGTGAAATAACCTTCGTTTGGTTTATAAACCAACTTCTATTTGGTAGAAAATTAAATATACAATAATACAAAACGAGCATATCTTTGTGTTTAATAGAAATGAATATTGGCAATAAAATAATTTTCGTTTCTATGACGTTACGTATTTGTGACAATTATTTCCTTGTTAACCCAATACGTTTTTTGCAGAAGTGCACGAAACACCAAAAACGAAATATTTCTTTCTGTTAACAATTTCTATACACAAAACGATAGACTAAATCATTTAAATAATGTAAATTGAACAAAAAGAATATGTAATAAAAGGGAATATTCCCTTGCAGAATAAGAAAATCGGGAATACATTTCCGCAAGTCGATGAATCAAGGTAAAAGAAGAAAAGGAACGATATTCGCGTGTCGAGCTGCCTGTTCGACACACATTGTTCGCAGCGGCAAATATTTGTCGTGTTACAAGCATAATCGTCGCCGAAGCCCGATACACGTAAATAAACATAAAATATCATTAAATCTTATCGACAGGCGTTTTATCTCGAAGATCGTCATCGAATCGAAAAGAGAAAAGGAAAAAATTCCAGGCCCTGTGTTCCTTTAATTCACTACGACAGGTCTTTGTACGCAGGCACGTACAGTATTTTAGATGAATCGTTACACGATTTCTCAGACGAGAGATTCCGTAAAAAGAAAAACAAATAATGGAACGATTGAAAAAATGAGCTTTTGTTATTTTAAATGACTGTCTTCGGCGTGAAGTCGATTTCTTTCACAGCTAAGGAAGTTTCGAAGTTTCCCATCCGAAAAGTCTTCCTTTATCGGAATCCCAGAGGAGGAAGTAGTTTAGCTGGCTGGAGGAAGAACTCGTACCGTCGGCTTTTTCGAACACGGACACGGAGCTCGTGTGAGTCGAGGAGGATTACCCCGTCCGCCGTCGGCGTTTTTCATCTCTCTGATATCGATACTCGCGCACCTACGATTACCCGGCCGGCCGGTTCCTTGTCAACACTCGGTGCTCTGAATAGCGTAATTGTTACACCAGGTCAGTCAAGATAATTTCTTACAATGCCTGCCAAAAAACCAATCAGGAATTCCCAATGGGTGGACGTGAACGTAACAATTATTAGGAACCCTATATAAATTTTATAGTACGAATGTATTTAAAGAAAAATTAGAAATAACATTAATTATGTTATATGAAATGTAAAATGTATTCAATTTTTAATTTACTATTTCTATGAAGTATAGATTTATAGCATAAACTCCCATTCTGATACTTTCTTAACCCACTAGAATTATGTAACTTTATTTTTTCTTAAACTGATAAGGAGAGGAAAAAAGAATGTGAATCGTCAGCGGTGTACAATGTATAACAAATGGAAGAATTCGAGCATCGCGTAGCCTGAAACGTGTCGAGCAATATTTGCCCAGAGATTACGAAGGGGACGCTTCTTTCGAAACACGCGCCTGACTCCGCGTCGCTTCGTGCCGTCGCTAAAATCGTCGTCCTCGAGGAGTCACAATTAATAGCTTCGCTAAACAATTGTTTTTATCGTTACGAACATTTTCTGACGTGACCACGTTCGCACTAAAAGGGCTAACTCAATATTAATCTCGCGAAGTCAGATTCGAAATGCTTGGAGCTTTGATCATTAAAATTTTTCATTAAATCTGCAATATCTTTTATTTTTCCCAATGTGAGGAATTCCCAAAGAAAAATGTACGCGTATCTAACAGTTGTCACGAGCGAAACGTCTGAACTTTAATTAAGACATTGTCTTTGAAGCGATTCTGTTCTGCTATTTCGATAGATAGAGAGACGAGTTATTTTGCGTACGAAAGCAGAGATGAAGCGAGATGGAAATAGTACGAGGGCGCGAAGAAACGGGACTCTTGGGGCTCGTTGCCACCCCATTATAGCGTTTGCTCTTCCATTTCGCGGCGCGAAATGGTGAAAGCGCGTGCCCCGGATTTCCAGCGACGCCCTCGACTTCTCCCTGTCCTGTCAAACTACCCCTCAACGCCTCTACACGTGCTCCGAACCGATGCTTCTGGGTACCATTCGTCACCGGCATCACAATTGCCTCTATTGTGCCGTGCAACATTTGTATATTGCATATCAAGTATCCTGACGATGCCACTTGTTTCTGACTAATCTTATTCCTTTTGAGAACGTTATTAATTGCTTCGATTATATCGGATTACAAATTATAATTGTGATGTACGAAAGATGCGAGCAACGAGATCGAACTAATTGTAAGACAAGATGTGATCTCATTAATCATAGAAGTCCTTAATTGTTTAAATGTGTATAACATGTGATGACAATGACAATCTATGGTTGCCGTTAAGATAATCCGTAACTATTTCGCGCATTTCGCGAAGCGGTGAACAACCCCAGCGAGCCTCTCCACACGTCGAGTTCAATATACGCGGTAAAACAAGAGTATGGATGAATACCCTCTGAAAAAGTTACATTTCAGACACCCGGTGGAACGAACGAAAACTGGCCTTTTACACGTGACGGTAACATGATAATTTAGAAAAAACCCGGACAGCAGTTGGAATTGTAAGAAGCAGGTCAATAGTCTTATTGGTCAACTTAGGAGCGGTAACCCTGATGAAAGACAATCCGGTGTACGTAGGCAAAGTGGGAAGGACTCGTGGCTTGGAGCACGTCGCGTCTTGGGTCGAGTCGAAAGTCCCGAATTTCCGACTCTTCAGTTCATTATGTTACGGCTGTAAGTTTCATGAACGGTTGCCAAGTTGTGGGAAAATCCGAAGGAGATAATGTACTAAGAGAAACAGGCCGACAAAGCGAGGCTAGAATGGTTCCGGTCCCGTTCTCCGGAAGGGACGCACGTACTACCGGAGAATGTCGCGTCCCTTCACGGTATAATTTTGACCCTCATTGTTGGCGAAACAAACTGTCCGAAAATATTTTACGACCTAATTGCGGAGTGACGAGCAGTGAGACAAAGACTGACCAGCGTAAAATATTTTGACACCGTAGTTTCAACGAGAAGATGATTTATTACGATTTATTAAAATTTCCTTTGGAATTGCCTAAATCTACTGACATCAATACAACTGAAATAAATGAAAGTATAAGCTAACTGTTGTAGATCTACGAGAAGGAATTTCAATTTCGATTATAAGATCAAATTTTATCCACTGTCTCTCAAATGTGGCTAACAGTAATTCGCTTCAAGTCATTCGATAGCAAATTCTATCTATTTATAAAAAAATGGGATGTGTATAAATCATATAATTGCTGTACGGAACTATGCAGAATATCAAAAGTTGAAGGTATATTTCAATGTTCTAACGATAAAATAAACCTTCAATTGAAATACATTTTTTAAACTGATACCATAAATGTTTAATTTTGCATAATAATCCTCTGCTCACGTATCATGCATCTAATTACAAGGCGAACAATAAACACGAACTTATAGAATAATTCAAGTACTACGAGCATGTATTCTATGATAGAATATTCATTTGAACATTCGCCATGCAGAAACCTTATCATTCTCTATTTTATCTTTATGACCCCATGGTAACGAGCATGCTCTACATTGGCCATAAGGATAATAGATATCCTGTCGAAGTTAAATATCAATGATGAAATCTACAGGACTTTGCACCAATCAAAGATGTACAATAGGTTTTAATAAATGCATGCGACTACTGGACGAAATGCGAGGACTGAACGATTATAATGATTCTTAACCGTACCAAGAATATCAATGGTGCAGATCTCGTGACTCGCTGCACCTACATTTGGATTGCAGGCTGCAGCTACTTTGCAGGCTGCAACAGTACAACAGTACGCCTGTCTCATTGAGTGTCTGAAACCTCATCCCCTTTTTATACTGCGATCTCTCCCGAATCGAAATGATTTTATCTGTCCATTACTTTTCATATTGTATTTATTTTTTTATTCATATATTTCTATGATCCACAATTTGCATATTTTCGTAAATCGATTTGTTTGCCAACTATTTAAGATTTCAAGAGTTATTTAAGATTATTTTTAGATTCTTTACAGTGGCTAGAAATGTTTTGTTATAAAAAAATTAAATTACATCATTTCCTGCAGCCATAAATCTCCGTCTCCGTTATGCACATAACGCGTAACACGAAACTCAAACGATAAACTGTACAGAAGGAATTAGCGGTCGACCGAGGGGTTTACCGAAGCTATCAGAATCCGCATAAATTGGGAAATGCGTACACACCAGTCGAAGAATTCTTAATCCTTAATTATCAATAAAGATTCATATACTTGTGACTGTTCTATTCAGCGATGAATTTATATCAAAACTAATTCTAATTGAAGTTTAATTAAAGGAAGACGAACTTATAAGAGTGCAGGTCAATCAGACCAAGAACTATAACTGTAATCAATAAATTGGTTACAATAAATATTTCTAATTTCTTCAATAACTTCTCAATAAATACTGAACAGATTCTATTGGAATTGATATAAACTGAAGTAAATGTACGAACTTCCAGCGGATGTGGACTGCCCGAAGAAGCAGTGTTCCCCGTTTCGTGGATCCGTGGGTGAAAAACCGAGGCGACAACGCGAGAGGACGGAGATTATCTCACAAATATTTGAGAGCAATTAGATGTTTGCTCGTCTGTTACTGTGTTTACATTGTTCGCCATATCTAGACCGCGGAGATGTGTTTATAACCGAGACATGCGCGTCAACTCCTCCACCAAAAAAAAAAATCTTTTCCCGTCTACTGTGCCGCTTAAATTCCTACCTGAGAGTCATGCGTGAGATTTTATAATACTCGATAGCCTCGCAATGTATTTTGTATCATTTTCATAAAGTTTTATAAAACTTTGCAAATAATGTTTCATATAATTCCGTTTCTCTAATAAAATCTAATAGGCTGTATCAAGGAAAGATTTAATGCTTGAAAAAACGTGAGCTATTTGAATCAAATAAATTTTACAGTATTATAATATGAGCTATCTGTTCGATGTACCGTGAGTGTAGAAACTTCATAATTGTTATGGGGAGAGGGGATGGACAGAAGGATGTATACGAATGATTGTAAATATGAGATTAAATCTTTTTCATTGAATTTGCCTTCTGATCGACGCGTGTTTATTGTACAAAAGTAATATTAACAATATAATATTAACCAAGTAGAAGTTCTCAAATATGAAATACAATAAATGTTCTTAATAATTTCAGAATGTTATAGTCAGCTTGAGTTAATCAAAATATAATTAAACTGTAATTTAGCAAGTCTTACGTTTGTCAAATTGATTAAACAAAGAAATACGATAAAAGAAATGTACAATTAAAATTGTTATCAAATTCCCATTTGGAAAAATTCTGTTCATGAGATGTTTAATGCAACAAATTTATACGGGCCAAGAATTCTTGAATTCTATTGTGTAATTGCTAAGGGAATAATGTGCCGTAAGGTGAATGTATGATAAAC